TGTATTGTGTGCACACATCCTATGCTATGTGCTGTGTGGGGCCCAAATATGAAAGCCCCGCAGGGCAGGGCAGGGCATTGGGGAAAGTGGGATCTGAGTTCTTCTCCCGGTTCTGCAGGCCAGTTAAGCAAGTATGACTTGAGGCAAGACTTTCTGAACCACATTTTCTGCCTGTCTCCTTGCTGGTCTCCTCCACCAGACCCACTGGAGAGCAGGAAGCACCGGCTGGCGCAAAGTGGGTTCCCAGAAAAAGCTGGGTGGCTAGATCGATGAGGTTTGATACCTGGGCAGTGTGCGGCCACTGTTCTGCAGGCTAAGGCTTCACTAGTGATTCATTCATGACCGTTTATTGAGTACCTACTATGTGTCCTTCAGTAAGGCTTTTCAGATGAACAATTTGTCCCAAGGCAGATGTGCCTCGGAGAGCAATGGGTCGATGTCTGATCTGCTTGGGCAGGGGGTAAACTATGTGGCCCCTGGGTCCCCATCAGGCCAGGAATTCCTATTCCTCTACCTTGTGCCTGGAATGTCACCTGGGCCTGGCAGTCACTGTCCACCCAGTTCCTAGTCACATTGTCTTCTGCCCCACAGAGAGGGCCCAGTTCAGGCTGGCTGGTGAGTGCCCCTTCCTGTTCACAGAATAGGCAATGGCTCAGTGTCTTCTGGACCCCGCCTCCACCAGAACTGTTTCCCCAGTCACTGGTGTGGTGCCAGGAACCTACTTGGCAGAAAGATTGGGTGTGATGTGGCAGCAGAGACAGGAAGCAAGGTCCCTTCCCAAGAATTCTTATCAGTGTCCATGACTTCTCTTTCCAGCTGACCATGAGCTCCTGGAAGACCATGAGTCTCATTTCCCTCCTAACCTAGCAAAACACAGCCCTCAAGAATTATCTACTGAATTGAGTTATTGTTGAACAACACTCTCACACTCACAAGCTCAAGGACTCACGCAGATGATCATGTGTGATGCACCTAGTTTACACATGGAGGGAGTGAGGCTTTGGAAGAAGATGCCATCGATCTTTATGGGCTCTGAGGGGTTTCCCATGGGTCTTTTCAGCAGCCCTTCAAGGAGCAGGGGTTCCTCGGGCTCAACATTGCCTATTCTGATTTGGAAGTGAGATTTGGAAAGGCCTTGGTGCTCAGCCACTGACCCCCTGCCTCACCTTTGAGGAAATGCATCCCCTTGCCTGGAAATGGCTTTGTGGCCAGTGAGTCACAGGGCATCACCCACAGAGTGCAGGGTGGGGGTAGTTGGATAGCTTCTCCACTATGCGCCCCCCCCTTCAAAACCTGCCTGAAATCCACTCCCACACTCCTGGCCTTTTGGCGACTCTTCCACTTGAATTGTCTTCCCCCATGGCTCGATGATAATTCAACACAGCCTTCAGGAGCCAAAGGCCACCTCCTCCTGGGAGCATTCTCTGGTTTCCCTCCATCCCTTAGTTCTGTTTGACAATTCAATTCATCGGTAGCATTTATCATATTCTCCTTGTGTTATCTTCATGTGATTGCATGGTGGTGTCTGATGTCTCCCGTGCAGGCTCTCTTCTCTGGCCCAAGCTGCTGAGGATGCCTTCTGTCCATGTTACAAATGGGTGTGCACCCAGAAAGCAGGACCATGTGCCAAGTTCTTTGTCTTCCTTCCCATAGCAGCAGACCCTCTTCCCTCAGTTTTGTACAGGGGTTTGCACACTGTAGGAGTTAAAGAAACTCATTTAAATTATTAATGGTTTGAGCCTCTATTGTGTCCCAGGCTCCATGCTGGGTGTGGGGACACAGAGATGGATCTGACAATGACAACACCATGTGATGTGCGCTATAACTTGGGTGTGGGGCAGAGCTTGAGCTGCACTGGAAGGACAGGCAGCAAAGCGGGGGTGGGAGGGAACCTGGGAGGAAGCAGCCCCGACAAGGCCTTGAAGTAGCCCAGCTTGTCCAGAGCCTGGGTCCAGGCATCAGAGAGATTGGTGCTTTGGGGCAGACCACGAAGGTGGGGAGGCTGACAAGGGTCTGCTCAGAACCCCTTAAAGGCTAATGTTTGGATGATTATGCTCAGCTGCAGAAGACAGGAATCAGACCACCTTGGTTCAAATCCCACCTCCACTACCTACCAGCTTGGTGATGTCAGGAAGGTGACTTAATCTTTCAGAATCTCAGCTTTCTCCTCTCTAAATGTTCATAGCAGGCCTACCATAAACAGTGACACTTAGCACAGTGCTGCACCTGGCTAGGGGGAAGCGAGAAAGGATGCAAAATCCTCTTGGGATCTGGGGACCCCAAACAACTCTCAGTAGTGGAGTTTTAGAATTAAAGGGGTGCCAAAAGACCCCTAACTTATCAAGATACATAAGATTTTAAAGCAATACTTTTAAAATGTCAAAACTAATGCCAAAAAAAAAAAAAAATCCATGATGAGCAATGTATCAAAAAAATATCATTAAGGACAGGATCCGCCTTACACAAAGCATGCAGCTTAAAAACCGCCAGCTGGGATTGAACCTGGGAGTTCTCAACCTTCCAGGGCTAGGGACTTCCGAAAACCTGAGGAAAACCCGTGGTCCCTCTCAGCCAGAAGAATGCTCAAACGCGCATCCTCTGTGCAGTTTGCGGGGTGTTCCTGCACCTCCTGGGGCTCGTCCACGTGGAGGTTAAGAACTCCGGTTCCACGTGGGGGTGCGGGAGTGGGGGCCTGGTTCCACGCGCCACCCATCCATCTGTGGGTTCCCCGGTACCAGGCTGGGCGGCCCTTCTGGCAGCCATGGTGCTCTGCCCCCTGCAGGAAGCAGCGCATAGCTCTGCAGCTTCTTTTTCTTTCTGGCTTGGCTCGCCCCCCACCTCCATTACCCACCCCCCCCTTCGGCTTGGGACTTTTCCTAAAGTTTGCTGAAACCAGACACCTTGCTCCACCGAGCCCGCGTGCAGCCACGGTTTAAAAGGCCGCCTTCAGCGCCCCCTCCCCGCCCCCAGCGGAGACTTCAAAAGGCCCGGCGGGCGCCGCGGTCCCAGCACCTATGAGCCGCCCCCAGCGCCCGGAGCCCGCATCGGAGTCCGAGGACGCAGAGCCGACGAAGTTCGAGCGCAGGCGGACCGGGCGGGCGGCGCAGCCCCGCGCGCCCATGCCCCTCCCGGTGCCGCTGCGCTTCGAGCGCCCGCGCCCAGTTTAGGGAAGGGGACCCCGCACCCCCGCCCCCGCGCCCGCGCCCGGGGCTGCGGGGACCCATGAATACAAATGCCGTTAGGCGCCCGAGGAAGGACCGACCGTCCAGCCTCGCAGCTAGGGACCCAGTAAGTGCCCCGGGGCTCCTGGAGCTCTGGGGGTAGCGGTGCGTGTGTGCGCGTAAAGTTGCGCGCGTACGGGCCGGGGGGGGGGGATGCACGTGTGGGGAGCGAATGCGTTTGTGCACGCTTGCGGTGGGCACTAGCGGAGAGCTGTGTGCAAGTGGGGGTGTGCGCGCGTGTGCGCACTTGGGGTGTGTACGTGGGGTGTGTGTGCCCGTGAAGGTGTGTGAGGTGTGTGCGCGGGAGTGTGTGTTGGGGGGAAATGGAGAGGCTAGTGTGCATCTGTGTGCGTGTCAGTACTAGTGTGCATGCGTCTGCTTGTATGGAGTACGGGTTGCGTTCGAGTCCAGAAACCCCAGGGTGTGTTTGTGTGAGCCCAGGAGTGCGTGGCCGAGCTTGCGTGTGAATGAGTGTGAGTGTGTGTCTGAGTTTGGGGTAAGCGTGGATGTGTGTGGGAGTGCGTACGCACCGGTGAACAGATCTGGAGGCGGAGGGGACTTCTGATGCCTGGGCTCGGACTGGGGTTGTGGTTGTACGAATTTGCTGGGCGTTTGCGGCAGGGTCAAGGTGTGTGCAGTTGTGCGCTCCAGCGGGGGATCTGAGGGAGTCTTTGGTCGCCTCCTGAGGGTGTGTGTGTGTGTGTGTGTGTGGGGGGGTGTTCAGCTCCTATTTCTTACCAAATGGACAGGGAAGCGAAGAGGGTGACCAACGTTTAACAAGCCCACCCACTATGTGCCTGGGGAAGTCTGTTCTCCCAGGCGCTCTGAATCTGGGGAGAGGGGTGTGTATGTGTGTGTATGGGCCGTAGGGCACTGGGTTATCGCTGTTGTGGGAGTCTAGATACTGAGAGCTGGTCCCAGATCTGTCCCCGGAACACTGGGTTCCTTTCAGCAGTAGTATCTGTCCCCTTTCTCCTTCTATCTCGGCCCCCCAACTCGGGGACCTTCCCCCACCCCGCACCCCCCAGTCTCACAAACCAGAAGCCCCAAATCTCCGAACTGTGGTCGCCCTGCTGTGCAGCTTTGGCCGTCTCTTTCCTCTTTGTGAATCTCAGTTTCCCCATTTTTACTGGGGGGGCCCAGAGGTGGGGGTGTCTCTGCCGGGCTGCCGTGGGCCGGCCGAGGCTGTGTGACCGGCTGCGGCCGGCAGGGGGCAGCATGGGGCAGCAGAGGGCGGCTCGGCGCGGGGAGGAGAGAAGGTGGAGAGCCACCGCGGGCCGAGACTTTAAATCGCCTTCATTTCCCCCAAATCCTTCCTTTTCCTCTCCTCCCCCAGGCCGGCGGGGAGGCAGCTTCCACCGCCCTCCGCGCGCCTTCGCCCGGCCTCGCTCTGCCTCCGGGGACCGCCAGCAGCCCGCCTGCAAAAGTTTGATCTCTCTTTTTTTTTTTGCCTGCTTCTTCTTCCTTTTCGGTGGAAGCAGAAAAAGAGCGAGGCAGGGACGAGCGCGGCGCCGGGACTCCTGGGACCATGGGCCTGGCGCGGGTGCCCGCGGGGCCCCGGCCGCGCTGCCTG